AACCCTCAGTGTTGCCCCCGTACCGGACCGGGGACCGGCAACGGGATTGCAACGCTTGGTGTTGCTCCCGCGCCTCACTCAGCCAGTGAGCGGGAACCGGTCTGTATGTGGGATCCGAACCCTCGGGTGGGAGCGCCGCCGCGCTTCCCAAGCGGCGCACTTATCCAGTGCGCCACCGGACCGGCCCTCCCTTTCTCCTTTTTAATGGCACTCTGTTTAAGTACATAGTTCTATGTTTTCATGTTTTTACCCATAATCAAAGATGAGTATATGTTTCTGTGTTTTTATTAAAACTATATAAATTTTGTAAAGATCTTTCCCAGGCTTTCAAGAAAGTAGGGATCACATTTCCATCTATCTTCGTAAATGGTGGAAGGCATTGACTTCATATTGTAAGACTTCAAGGTGCTGGGCCACAACCACTTCAAACAGTAAAAATCATGCAACATATTACCTGAATGTTCAAGAAGAGCCAGGAGTATCCTACACTTTACCTCTGCAGAGCAAGAAAACACATAGGTTAGTTGTTTACACTTTTTCTGCCACAAACATCACATTTTAACTGCCTAGGAAAAATTCGCATAATCTTATTATATTAGATAATAAAAATCTCATTTACTTGACATGCTACACTTACCTACCTGTATAAATTCTATCCATTGCTCAAGACGCTAAAATGTCTTCTTGCTCTGAGTTATATGAGTTTATGAAACACCTTCCAAATCCTGCTAACTTTGTAGTTTATCCTTAGCTGTTTTAGTCTGCAGTGTTCTCAAAACTCCTACAGCTATTATAGTCTATGTCAATAAACTGTCAAACAATATTTTTGCTACTGTTATTTAAACTTTTAAAGATTATATGTGTGTGTGGCATGTGCATGTGTGTATATGTATACATTCATGCACACACTCTCTTCCTCTCATCCCAACCCACACGGGGCCAATTGTAGATGTTTAGTAAATGTGTATTAACTCCATAGTCATTACTATGTGTCCAATGAGCTATTTGTGACCATTTGCTTCCAACTGGTAAAAATTTACTTGCAGTAGGTAAATTAAAAAAGACAAAAAAGGAAAAAAAAAAAAAAAACTTGTAAAGTTCCTTCTTAGTGCCCAAGATTGTGGGAAATAAAAAAGGTTAAGGTGTATCCTATCCCGGACAGGTTCACAATTGACTCAGAGAGACAGAATTAACTGATAACAAATGCAGGAAATACTTGACAGAACATAAATTTCACAGGTGAGACTGCAAGAACAAAAAGATGTCAGAGGCAGGAAAGTACACTGAACCAAGAGTCAGAAGACTGATCTGTTATGTACTACCTCTGTGGCTTTAGAAAATTTCTAAACTACTTTGAGTCTCAACTAGCTCTTTCATAAATGATAACATCCGCCTTACTTATTTTATAGGCCTCTGTAGGAAAAATAAATGGAAATATGTATTAAAAGTGTTTGAAAATTGTTTAAAGTACTATATGCACATAAAGACAGTTATTATTGTAATATAGATCTAGCTGAAGCTGGTATAGAATTGGAAGTGAGACNCTTTAGAAAATTTCTAAACTACTTTGAGTCTCAACTAGCTCTTTCATAAATGATAACATCCGCCTTACTTATTTTATAGGCCTCTGTAGGAAAAATAAATGGAAATATGTATTAAAAGTGTTTGAAAATTGTTTAAAGTACTATATGCACATAAAGACAGTTATTATTGTAATATAGATCTAGCTGAAGCTGGTATAGAATTCTAAGTGAGACTAGAAAATACTTTATAAAACAAATTTTCAATTTAGACTGTCAGAGGAGTAGATACATATTCTAAGAGTAAGAAATACCTGTAGTGCTAGGAAAGAAATATAGTAGAGAATGAATAACAAATATCCAACAATCTAGGATAGAGAGATGTCATTATGTCATGAAGATACTGAGATTGGGATACAACTAGAAAGCCCCCTGACAAATGGCTTCTAACAGCAGATCGATGAGTTTAGACTTGTCTAACAGAAAATTACTATAAGGCTCTGGGGCACAGTACTGAAATTATGAACATGATATTTTAAGATGCATCTGGTAATAGTATAAATGAATCTGAAAAGATAGAGACAGATTAGCCAGAAAACCATTGCTATGACTGAGGTATGATGAATAAGAAAAAAATTGAAGAGGCAGTCTTTAGGATACTGGGACAGAGGAAAAAAATGAAAAAAAAAAAAA